ACTAAAGGTCAGCGCCATAACATAATCTCACTATTATCTCATCGTCGAAAAATTGGCAGCTGCTCATCGCGTGTTATGTTTCGTACTGGGGCGTTCTATGTACAGCGAAATTTCTACCAATATATGATAGCAGTGACGCTACAATAGCACCCTGAAATCTCACTACATTACGCAGTATCGAAAAAAAGGGAAATGTTTATCAAGAAGCAAGATCACTGAGCCAGGCCGCGAATGATATATACTTTGTTCATTTTTTACCCGCTTTGTACGACACATTGTAAAGTTGAACTAGATAAGTGAAATTTGAGTTGTTTGTGAGTATTACGCTTACCTGTACGTTTCGCATTTCTAGAACTTTCTTAAAGTAAAGCGATTGTCACATTCACTCCATTGTCGAAGTGACCGTCACACACGATGACCGCCGACGTGGTTGGTAGGTGTGTAAACGCTTGCCAGACAAGTTTTGTGAATACGGAAACAGGTTTAGTTTTCAGTAACTTACCTTAAGTCAGTAACAAAAAAAATTGCCCCACTCCCGTTACTGTGAGTAGTTTTGTCAGCGCATAATTTCTACGCAAAGCGAATAGCTACTGAAAAGTATCAGGCATAAGTTTTTGTTTGGCTTGTCGCTTGATATTAATTTCGCAGAATTGCTTAATACAACGAATGACTTCATTGCCTGAGTCACAAGGAATTGTTTTTAGATATTCTAAAGAGCTTCGACAGGGAAGACCATATACCGAACGTGGCTTACTTTTTTCTCTCGTAACTGCTGCAGACTCTGCGAGACTTGTCGGACACCCGGTTGCAGTTTAAGCCCAGGGTGATTCAGATCATGAATATAAGCAGGCTGACGCCCAGTTGGAGTGACGACCTTTGGTTGAAGTACCTTCAAAAGCACCTCTCGCCAGCCTTTACTGTGACCATGCAGGACCACATACTGCTCACTGACAGTACCCTGCTGGAAATAATCGGCGGCATAAGCGTTCGTTACGGCAACGCCGCCCTGCTGCAGCACATCGCTAGAGTCTTGAACAATACCTTTTCGAACCTTCTGGGCAACGGCACGCCGCATTTCTCCGAGACGGGCGAGACTTATCCTACTTCACCGGAGAATGTCACCCTCGCGTGCCAGCTTCAAGTGGAAGACTTATTCAAACCCGCGCTCGCCGTGAACCACGTTGTCGCGAAGAAGCTCTTCGCCCACCGCGCCATTGTGGACGATATCCTGCAGAACGTTATCCAGACTGCCGTCGATATGTTAGCAGACACCAAGTGGATGGGAGAAGAGAGCAGGGAAAGCATGATCCAGAAGATCAAAACGCTGAGAATCAACGTCTGGCCCGACAAAGAGCTCACGAATGAAAAGACACTTTGGGACCTCTACCACAACTTTCCGGGTTCTCGAGATATCTACGCTCGCGACGTGATAGAGTCGCGCGCCGAGATTCGCCGATACCTGGGCACGGACTCGTACATCTACCTCACGTCCACTCCGCACGGTGGTCGGGACCCGTACCTTGCGTATAACGTGTTCAGCAACACCATCACCATCGCAGTTGGCACGCTGTCGTCGCCTCTTTTCTATCTCGAAGGAACGACGGCCATGAACTACGGCGGGCTTGGCGCTGCGTTCGCCAGCGTTCTGCTCCGAGCTGTCGACAGCGGTTATGCGTTCACCGGCCCGAACGGATGGGCACTGAATAGGACGGAGTCGCTGTACATCAAGGCTCCCTGCGTGGACATGAGCTTCGAGGGCTTCTACCCCGGTCTTCCGTCCTTAGAGTTAACGTACAGGTCCTACCTGAACGCCCTAAGGAAGACGCGTCGATCGGCGGACGGCAAGCTGGCGTCGCTCCCCGAGTTCACCGCGGAGCAAGTGTTCTTCCTGACCTTCTGCCAGCGCACGTGCAGGCTCTACGACAGCCTGAAGACGTCGGGCGAATGCAACGTAGCCGTGCGAAACTTCTTGCCTTTCGCCAAGGCCTTCAACTGTCGACGTGGTTCGAATATGAACTCCAATAACAAGTGCGCTTTCTTCACGTGATTCCAAGCACTGTTCAACCATTCGTCTTCATTTGTCGATTTACGTAAATGTTACATGTTTGAAGGCTGCTTATTGCCGATTGCAACTTGAAAATAAAAGTAAGCTTCGCCCACAGTATAGTCGCTGCCCCATTCAGTTTCGTTTACTTCCTTGACGTCGAGAACCTTTGACGCGTTTCAGGCAGGGGATTTTATGAGACATGCTCGTGTTGACGAGATTATGAAGTTGGGCGTGTTGGTAATGCAAAACAGATCCCGGGGTTCAAAAATATTTGGCACAGGAGAAGAGCAATAAATTAAGCGCTCATTAAGAAAAAGGACGAAGATGACCGCTTAATTTCTTGCTCTTCTCCTGTCTGAAATAACGAGTTACAGATAGATTTCTGGGGTTTAACGTCCCAAAACCACCATATGATTATGAGAGACGCCGTAGTGGAGGGCTCCGGAAATTTCGACCACCTGGGGTTCTTTAACGTGCACCCAAATCTGAGCACACGGGCCTACAACATTTCCGCCTCCATCGGAAATGCAGCCGCCGCAGCCGGGATTTGAACCCGCGACCTGCGGGTCAGCAGCCGAGTACCTTAGCCACTAGACCACCGCGGCGGGGCAATAACGAGTTACAATATATATATATATATATATTGCTAGAACGAATATATATATATATATTATCGGCTGTATGGCGTCGTGCTGTGGGGGCTTCTTGTCGTTATTTTTATGGCCTGCAACCTTGCCCCCGGAGGTCGCCGCTCTCAGTTTCCCCGGCGCGGGCTAGGTGACCTTCTTGTATTAAGGTTCGCATAGGTGCGGTGGTGCGACAAAGGCGAACGCGCGGGGGACGGAGAGCGGGACTGACGTCTCGGACCAGGAGGCTGAGCAGGCATTGCCTTCTCTGCAGTGGTAGAGCCGTCCTCAAAGTGATAACGGGCTCCATAGAAAGAGGTGTCGTCACGGCGCGGAGTGTATTCATCGTTGGCACGTCGACCGTCAAACCAAGGTCGTTGAGGACGGAATGAATCACCTCGATGCCAGCAATGACGGGCAATATGTCCTGCACCTCCGCAGTGAAAGCATAGTGGACGCCTGTCTACGGTGCGCCATGCATCTGTTTTCCGGGTCGGTGGACGCGTCGATGCCCATGGGGTGGCTGTGGATGGCTGGTTGTGGGGCTGTAGCGTAGGTGTTTGATGCAGTGTCTGCTCTTGCGGCGGATACGAAGGGGCCATCGGCACCTGGTGGTACAGCGTCGGCATAGCGGGTGGTGGACGTCGGAGAGCGGCAGCGTAGCTCATAGGACGCTGCTGAGCATCAGGACTAGCCGTAGACAACGCTTGGTGGATTTCATCGCGTACGACTTCAGCGATCGATGCGATGGGATTTTCAGCAACAGGATTCCGCAACTTCTGCAGTTCCTCGCGAACTATCTCCCTAATCAAGTCTCGCAAACAGCTCTGACTCTCAGACGTCATGGCGGTAGCATTGATTGGGACATTGCAGGACATGCGGTCATATTGCCTGCAGCGTTGATGAAGGGCCCGCTCGATAGCCGTAGCCTCCTTAATGAAGTCAACGACGGTAGTCGGAGGGTTGCGCAGTAGCCCGGCAAAAAGCTGCTCCTTGACACCGCGCATGAGGTAACTCAACTTTTTATCTTCGGTCATGTGTGGGTTAGCTCGTTGAAAGAGGCGAGTCATGTCCTCGGCAAACATTGCAACGGTTTCGTTGGGTTTTTGAACCCGTAGCTCCAATAACTGCTGCGCGCGGTCCCTTCTATCGATATTGGCGAAGGTATCGACGAACTTCTCTCTAAAGTCGGGCCAAGCTGACAGATTGCCTTCTCTATTCTCATACCAAGTACGAGCACCGTCGTCAAGGTAGAAATAGGCGCGCCAAAGCTTTTCCTGTTCCGACCAATGATTTACCTTGGCTACACGCTCATAGTGGTCAAGCCAGTCGTGAACGTCTTCATGGGCACCGCCACTAAAGCGATCGGGAACGAGGGGTTGAAAGAGGGTCACCTGAGATGGGTGCGTCAGAAAGCTGCCTTGGGGCACCTGTTGCGAGCTTGCGTTGGCCATTGGTTGAGCTGTGCGGTGCCTAGCAGGTTCCGGCGAGTGAGTCAGCTCTGGCGCGAGGCCTCGCAACCGTCGACTGGAGCGATGTACCGGTGTTTCTACAGGTGACAGTGCGTTTGGACTCGATGAGCGGCTCCCAGCGGGCGTGTGGAGCATCAGACAGGGTTGCGGCCCAGCACCTCCACCAGTGTCGCGGTACAACGCGAATAAAACAGATACACCTTGGGACGACGAAAGGCAGCGTGTCCTGAACAGCTCAGTCACAAGATCGTCTTCTTCAGCCTCGAGAGAAGCTAGAGGCCCACTACCTCGTGCCCACTAAATGCCCCATCATCGTTATCGTCCACATGTAGACACGCGTCAATATATATATATATATATATATATATATATATATATATATATATATATATATATATATATATATATATATATATATATATATATATATATATATATATATATATATATATATATCAGTTGATCAGTTAAGTTCATGTTGTAGCTTTTATATCTGAAATCTAAAACTTGCGTGCAAATTTCAGCAAACATTGTGACATCACTTTTGGGCTGACGTAGTATTGTAAGTAGGGACGACGATGACGGCGTTTTTATACTAGTACGTGTATTGTTTACATTAGCAGCGAATAATAATACAAGGGGAACTATCTGGCACCATACGCTTGCTCACATTAACGAAAGGCGCGCCGCAGTTATCGGTGCGGAGCTCGTATTCCTTCTTGGGTTGTACCAGGCTAGCATTACTTTTATGCTTGCCTTGTGAGATAAGTGCACCATCAGCAACGAAACGTGCATTACAGTGTTCGTGTATTTGAAACCGGTCGGCGAGACGGCCGGTTGTAGTCCTCCACTCACACTGGACGTAGTCCTGCAGCTGCTGGAACTCGGCCGGAGAGAGTTTCTCCCACTTGACGGCCATGGCGTCCTGCCGAGCCGAGCTGCCGCGCTGGTCATCTGCATCCGGGGTCGCACGGCTCGGGACGCTCGCCGCTTCCAGGCGCGCCCCGGAGCACCATGCTCTGCGGGAAAGAGAACCTCCACGTGAACGACAGCACGCGGAATATCCACTCAAAAGAAAGTTGCGCCAAAGATATGGAAGGGCCAAACGACACATCTGCCGAGTGCCGTCTGGCTTACTCGACGAGAGCAAAAATATTAGACGGAATCTTGTCGTTCATTGCCGTTATTACTGCTTAAATGTTAAGAACCGCCCCGCCGCGGTGGTCTAGTGGCTAAGGTACTCGGCTGCTGACCCGCAGGTCGCGGGTTCAAATCCCGGCTGCGGCGGCTGCATTTCCGATGGAGGCGGAAATGTCGTAGGCCCGTGTGCTCAGATTTGGGTGCACGTTTATACGTATAGATGCATGTATTGTCAGTGAGCTAACATATCTGGCGAACACCGCATCTGCTGGAACTCGTGACGGATAGGCTTAGCAGTCGTTCTTCATGGTAACATTGCGACTTCGGAACAATGTGCGAGGTCAAAAGCTGAGTTCGCAGAACTATTTTGTTCTTGCCATCAGATGGCTATAGCTTCGTTAACGATCGTCAAGCATCAGGATTTTTAAAATGTTTTTTCACAAGAAATTTTTGTTACGAGGATGTGTTCGCGAGTCGTACGAACCGATTAAGGTTTGATTGCGCTTCATTCTTACAAACTTGATGGTCATAGAAGGGATGCACAAACTACAGACCTAGTTGCAAAGAGGGAGGCCCAGACAGATGTCGTTTGAATTGGTTTCGCCACGAAAGGAAGAACCGCTGCATTAGAAAACAACTTCACTGAGTAGATGCACATTGAAAATAGCGAGTTACGAATGTACAACCACGTTGTGCCAAATCAATTCACATGTGTAGAGCTAAATGCAGAAATGCGTTTTTCTTTTCATTTCGGAAGGCGCACAATGGTTATTGTGCACCGTTTTACAGTTTATATATTTCAAAATGCCAGCTTCGCCCCTTCCCGGCCACACTTACGGAGCCAGGCCGTAAACCTGCCACTCCTTCAGTCTGCACTTATGGCGAGTCACTGCGGCGACGCGCCTTTGTTCGCGAGCTCCAACGTGGTCGACGGGCACGTAAACGAGAAAGCCATTGGCCATGGAACGGTTCCCATTGCTCCGGCAATTTTCGTGCTTTTATCTGCGCGATTGTGACATACTGCGCCCACGGAATGCTTCTCTGCGCCTCCAAACTAGAACGCCTATTCTGACGAGTCATGCATATTTAACTGCACCCCACCGTCTGCGAGCTGGTCTCCTTTGTCATGCAAGTGCGCCACAGTGGGTGCGAAGCCTCGCTCGTGCTTTTTTTTCTAAATACTTTTATCGTGGTGCGCAAAGAATGGCGGTGGCACCGGCAGAATTCCGAGTGCGAAGGTCCACTTATAGGTTTATGCACGGGCATACGCATCATTCTTTCTTATTTTGTTATTTCATAGATATCTGTATATTTCGGAATGTAGCATCGCTGCCATGACAAATGGCCGGTGAGGAGCATAAAGAAAAAAATAAATACCATAAAACTCTGCGGCTTTCCGAGTAGTGCAGCAGTAAAAGATGGCCCGAATGGAACTCAAAAAAGATTATTCGCATTGGCAGCGCTACAAAAGAGGCAAGTTAAAAGAACCCCACCTGCAGCGCGCCAGCGTTAGTGCAACAAAACGGAGTAAAATAAAACCCTTTATAAGTGGTTGCAAGCGTAAGAAGCTGATATGTAGATTCCTTCGGCATGAAGTGAAAGAAGGCAAATTGCAGTAGAGCCGTGGAGCTCTCTATATGAGCTGGCACTTGAAATAAGGACCATAATCCATGGCAACAGAAGGCCAAAGTAAAAGGAAAGTCGCTAAGCTGAAGCCTTACCGAGTTCAAGCATTGCCAAATAATGACTCCTTGCATGGTAGCTTTGGCATGTTGCAACTAATGGTGAGTCTGAGTGAGGTTAAGCTGGAGGCATCACCGTTCTTCCTTAAAGGATACGGGGCTCTAGCGATCGTCAAATGTGAACAAGAAGTAGTGACGTAAAGTGGTGAACGAAAACAACTATGCCCAGTTGTTGCATTTTCAGGGACAAACAGCGTAAGATACGTGGGGCGAGAGGAAAGACACGCACAGCACGGAGTGTTGTCTTCATTTTGGAGAAACGCAGCGCAACGTAAGGACGAGCATGAAGGAACACAGTGCACAGGACGAGACCTGAACTTACAACTGAACTTCATTGCGCCAACTATTCGATCTTAGAGCCTACGAAACCACGCCACCTTTATAGTCTATTTGTGCAGGTATTGCGCGCTATAAAAGAGAATGGTTGGCGCAATAAAGTTCAGTTCTAAGCTCAGCACTTGTCCTGTGCGCTGTGATCTGTCAGCCAAGTATCTATCAACTCGCCTAAAGCAAAGTATTGCCGTCTTCAACTGATCCCCGTAATGTACAGTCTCTAAACACGTATAAGGCCTCACCGATGAACAACATTGGTTGCATAGGTGTACTGTCGCGCACATTATGACTTGCAATACAGAAGTGCGTGGCCTCACGCGAATGCAAAGATTTCGCATGGTTTCCCACTAGCTCTCCCTCACTTGGATATGATCCCAAATTATAAAGTAACATTTAGTTGTTCGAATAAAGAAAGAAGCTGAAGCAGTGCTCAGCCTTCGAACTCATGAGGCCACGCGCTCCCGTGCTGCAAGTCACTCAGCTCGACTGCCCGCACTGCAGGGCAAAGGCCACTTTCATGTTACGCCAATAAACTTTGTCCTGTGCTTTGTGCTGCCACATTGAACCCTCAAACTTTTTTCTCATCGGCTTACCGAGCTTTCTGTCTCCCTCCCCCGCACGTATGCCTTCTCTGGGAGTACAGTAAGTTACCTTTATTGACAAGCGACTGATCGATTGATATGTGGGATTTAACGTCCCAAAACCACCATAAGATTATGAGAGACGCCGTAGTGGAGGGCTCCGGAAATTTCGACCACCTGGGGTTCTCTAACTTGCGCCCAAATCTGAGCACACAGGCCTACAACATTTCCGCCTCCATCGGAAATGCAGCCGCCGCCACCGGGATTCCATCCCGCGACCTGCGGGTAAGCAGCCGAGTACCTTAGCCATTAGACCACCGCGGTGCGGCGGCAAGCGACTGTCCCGCCTACGCGTACGTTCCCAGCCCTTGTCCATTTCTTCACGGCTATAGTTTGAGGCGGACATTAAAGAACCTCAGCTGGCCGAAATTTTCGAAGTCCTCCACTACGGCGTCTCTTATAATCATATAAAACATCTATAATTATTGTTATACTTGTTACGTTAAAAACTTGTGCCACTGTTAGGTTAATATCTGACGCAGGGGCTATCGCCATCTACAAAACCGCAAATGAGTAAAAACACGCGAAAAAATAAATCCATTCGTTATGAATAAGCCAGTTTTACTCTCAAAGTAAGCGTGCTTCCTTTGCCCTTTGCTTCGAAGCTGCCTATTATCGTCTCTCCCGCATTATCTGACGAAAAAAAAAAAAGGCTGCGCGATTTTAAAAGGAAAATTCCAAGTATCGTTAAACTCCACAATGATTCAAAAACGAGAGCTTCATCAGGCTAATATATTGAAGACCACGCAACGAAGTTTTCCAGTCTGTCTCATTCATTATGTTTTTAGCAAAAAGCACTTTATTAATGAGGCTGGAAGCATCGAGGTGTTGCAATTCTATATGTTCGCTGCAAGTGTGAACATGACCTACGTGGACGGAGCCAGAAGCAGACACATATGATTTATTTTCGATTTTGTTTACTTTCAAACAAGCCTCCCGTAGGTGCACATAAAGATATTACGGAACACATACGGGCATCGCCAGATTGGGCTGTCAAAGAATGTTTTCTTATTTTGCATATCGCGAAGCGAACGCCAAATAGGAAAACATTCTCTGACAGAGAACGTCGAACGTATACCAGCTCAAGTGCTTCAAAGCGTATGTGTCTACCGTAGCTTATTTTAATTCTTTAAAGCACCAGACGGCAAAGCCAACAGCCCAATATGACACCACCGAAGCTAATCGCTAAAAAGTGTACATGAATTTTTTTACGGGAAATATCACATCCATGGGCCATACCTTGTCACTTATCGCACTTAGGAGGAGGAGGAGGAGAAGGAGAAGAAGAAGAAGAAGAAGAAGAAGAAGAAGAAGAAGAAGAAGAAGAAGAAGAAGAAGAAGAAGAAGAAGAAGAAGAAGAAGAAGAAGAAGAAGAAGAAGAAGAAGAAGAAGAAGAAGAAGAAGAAGAAGAAGAAGAAGAAGAAGAAGAAGAAGTGGCAGCATATCCACGGGGTGAATGATGAAGAGTGGGGCGAAGCATCCGTCCGTCCATTCGTTCTTGCTTCCGTTCGTCCATGCGTGTTTCTGTGTGACCGTCCATGCGTCCATCCACCTGTCTGTGCGTGCGTCTCTTCGTGCGTCCGCACGTCCATCCGTGCGTCCGCCCCTGCGTCCGTCCGTCTGTGCAGCCATCCGTGCGTCCGTCCATGCATCTGCCTGTGTGTCCGATCTAGTTAACACTCCAAGTACCACCATCTCGTATCTTTTCATCATATATTCCGCATATTGAAGCACCACCATCCAGCGGACATTCCAAGGACTAGACGAGAGGTGGCACACGCACACTTTCTTACGGCTTGCGCTTCGTGTCTACTTCCCATCTTTAACCACCTCGAGTTCATAGTATCTACTGGTTCACTGTATTCATGGCACTGCGGCCCAATGCTCGCTAAACCTTTCTAAAGCCAAGGAGGTTACGTCCAGCGAGTATAACGCAGCAACCATTTCTTGTCAGATCGTGCTCGATGTACATGCCAATGGCTGCTAATGGGGAATGAGAGACAGGAGAATTCGGCTTTTAGTTAACGCGCACGCTGCGAATTTTTCATTGTTCAACAACGCACAGGAGAAATCTCCCACCGGCACCACTTTGCAGGTCAAAGCGTAAGACGTGTTACGTACTACGACGAGGGACGAACGGGTGCCGCTATAAGGAACTTCGCC